CCCCAAAACCCCAAAACCCCAAAACCCCACTCTTTAAGAGTAAAATGTGGTATAAGTTCATAAAATATTAAATTTTTGGCAAAACTCCTCATGTTCCCAAGGAAAGCTTAAAGGGTATTTATTTTAGATCAACTCTACCCCACCCACACAATAATGATCAGTTGCTGATCTCATGGGCATAGTTGGTGAGAGAACTGATACCATAAAAATTAGTTAAAAAGGTCAACAAAAGTATAGAGTTTCTTCTCAAGTGTCTCTCCCTTGTCTTGGGATTCATCACGATCTTTCCTACGCTCTTCTAGGATGTTTGTAAGTTCAATTGTTACTGCGTATATGTCAGCTTTTTCCTCTTCAGAAAGTGACTCTATTGTAAATTTAAACCTTTTTATTTTAGACATGTCCGAGTAGAAATCTATCAGGTAGTTTCAGTTTTCCCGAATCCACTTTTTCGATGCTTGTCAGAAAGCCTTAGAGATCAGTAGTATAGAGCTTCATTCGATGGAATCTGAGAAGATCGATGGGAAGAAGAGGGCTTGATTTTTAATCAATATTCTCTTTGAGGTTCCAAATCTTTTTAAACTTCTCACATCCTTTTCAGCTGTAATGATTTTGTAGGTATTTCAAGGTCCAGCTTGACTCCCTTCTTTTCTTTCATGAAGCCAGATGCTTTTTCTGAGAAGGAGACTATAGAGTCTCCAATGAAGGGACTATTAATGTTAAAACGAGTTTTTGAATTAGATTTACTAGTAGAAGGAGCATTTCATGCTTCATGGTTATCATCTGAGTAGAAATTATCGTCTACCTCAATTTTAGCAATATCTACTAATGTCATTGAAGATTATTGTTTTTCTTCTTCCTTCGATTTCTAGCTTGATCAACTATATTATGTACAATAAAAAAATGTGTGTGAATTTTTCATAAAGATCTATTATTTCTACCCTTCTGGTGGAACTTTTCTAGTTTTAATTTGAAGATGTTAAAAATCTTACCTAAAAATTTTGTTTAGCATTTTAAATCCAATTTGTGATTCTTATTGCAATCTCTGATTCCATTATCAATTTCAATAACTTCGCTTTCATTAAAGGAAAAATTTATCCTGGCTTGTTGTCAATGACTTATTAGACTTTAAATTCTTGTATGAAAGAGATATATGCAAGTACCTTACGCTCTTCATAGTCTGTGCTTGGTAATTCCAGTCTTAGTCCTTCCTCACCAGATTGGACACTTTTGCCCTCCTGTTGTTACGTCTTCTGGTTCTCATAATTTTGATCTATTCGAGTTTCCTTTTTGGAATTTCTGCTATTATGAATTTTTAGTTCTTCTTCAAATTTTGTAATTTCTTCTCCATCAATTTCTAAAAATTCATCCATCTTTTCCCAATCTTCACTCTTGATTAAGTTAAAATTTTCTATAGGAAGAAATTGTAATTTGGAATCTTCTCCAGTGGCAGCTGGGATTTCTTCAGGAGTTGTAGTATTTTTATTTTCTAGGTTTGCTTCAGAAGTTTTTGGAAGGTTCTGAGCAACTTTCTGGCCAAGATTGGTTTCTTGACTCTCTATAATACAGTTGTTGTCAGGTGTGTTACTTTTGAGTGTTTCATTTTGTCAGAGTTTATCACCTGCTTCTATTTTTACATTGGATAATTTTTCTTCAATGTAATGGAGATATTCGTGGGCGTTCTTGCTATGTGGATCGATTTGTAAGAGATTTTCAAATTGTAATTCTTCTAGCTTGTATTGCCTCAGATAATATAGTGTAGTTCCATACCTGAATAGCGAATTCTCATGTAAGCTGTCTAATCTTAGAGCTGAGAGAGCATCTTGCTCTGCATCAGCATAGTTCTTACGGTTTAGATATCACTGAGATCTGTCAATGTAAAGGTCTACTTTAATCTTTATATCTCCTAGATCAATCGTTAATCACTTGGTGTATCATTCAATTGTCTATTCAAACTCAATAGAACAGAAGAAACTGTTTCTTAGCTCCTCATATTCTCTATATTTATTTGAGAAGTAGGATTATTGCTTCCTTTTATCATAATTTTTGAATTAGGCTTTGCTCCTCCTGTCTTTTTCTGTAATCGTTCTCTTCTTTTTGCTTGATCTTTTAGACTGTTACCTCTTCATATTCAGGAAACAGCATGGTTAGTTGAAGACCTTCCATTCTCCTAAGAGCTTCAACCTCGTCAAAGTTATCCCAATTTTTCTAATATTTAGGCATTGGGGTGCTGTCTCTCTGAAAATTCTGATCACCATGAGGAGTTTTATCCTCTTCTTCATGAGCTTGCTGGTTCTTAGCTAGGATGTCTAAGTAACTGCTTGCTTCATTATTTTTAACCTTTCCTTCTTCCAACTTGCTGCTTCTGATGGGAGGCAAATTATTTGTTTGGAGAGTTTACTTCTTTTGCAAGGTTGGCTTCTTGATCTCCCTGATAGATCTCTTAGGCCCACTAGTCAAGATTCTAGACATAGTCCATCTCAGACTAGCTGGTTTGCTTTGTCTGAGGCTGATTTTGCATGAACTTGTCATTTCAGTTCAATTTAATGAGTTTTTTAAGGGGTTTTGGGGTTTTGGGGTTTTGGGGTTTTGGGG